ATGTAAAGTGAAATGGAGAGTAATCGTTGTAAGGAGTTCCTTTTTTTATTATTCAAAAGTTAAAGACTCTATGAGCACTTGATCAATTATTGAGTTATTATCTTGAGACCATTTGGATATTACTACATTTGAGGATAGTAGTATAGATCCTTATGAGAAGTTATGTATAGTGAGGTAATTCAGTGAGATTTGAAGACAAATTCCTATATGAGAGTACAATAATATTAGGAAAGAAGGTTGTTACCCCTTACTAAATACTAGTTCAAACTACGAAAGTGTACAACCCCACTGTAAGGATTGCCCCCGATTCAAATAGGGAATAAATCAAGAACCCAAGAGGTGGTATGCTATCACCTGTTAGAGGATTATAAGAGTTTCTCAAATAAAGTGAAATAATACTCTTGAACCTTCAGGATAAGAATGGACAAGTATTAATAGAGAACATGACCAAACGTCATGCAATGACCCAACAGAAAAAAGTATATGCCAATTGAGAATTTAGTTGAATAAGATGGCACCCTTATAACTGGAAGAAGAAATCTTTAGCCATTATGTTAACCCCGTAAAAAAGATAAACCCTTGGAAATATGTTTGGATAATAGAATAATAAAAGATAATTGTCAGGTGTAATTGCCCTACCATGGGAATATATAGAATTCAGGAGACATTTTAGAACTTTCTCTGGAACATCTATAAAAATAAATGAAAGGATAACAATAGAAGGAAATAAAGAAATTTCATACTTAAAGACTTAGAAGAACCAGATCAATTATTGTAATTTTGGGAGACATCCATACATTGATAAGTTTTCTAATTAGTAGTATACCTTGTTGAAGATCTATGTAAAGTGAAATAAAGAGTTTCGGATTTTGTTATAGCCAGACCACTTAAGTTTTGCATATATGAGATTGGAAGACAAGTTCAAATAAAGCTTATTTTGGTGGTATTTGGAAGAAAAGAAACCAACTTGGGAGTATTTATGAAGCACAGGAAAATATTAGCATAAAATGGAACGTTCGAGGGGTCATGATTCTATTTTGGAGATAAGTGATTGTTATCTTTAAGGTTAATATATATTGTAATAACTAATTGGATGAATTCCAAATAAATCCGTCTTTAGTGTTGGAAGTTAGAAAAGAGATACACCATTTTTTAAGTTTGTAGGAGCCTTAGAAAACTGTAAACCTGCGTATGAGGTTTCAAAAGAGATTAAAGAGTCATGATGAAATCTTAAGGGACTTATATTGCAATAAGAGACCTTGATAAGTTGAGGATCCAAATGGCTTAGCTAGATAGAGTAAATTGCTTAATAAGGAGAAAATGTCTTAGATTCAAGAAGATCTAAACCATTTTACACAAGATTGATTCTCGGGAGTCAAAAAATACATACATTTGATTTTTGGTGTTCAATTGTTTTAGAAGAATATAAACGTAGACATGATGTTGAGGCCACATAGAAGCAATTAAGCGCCATAAAATCTCCTATATATCATTATGAGAAGTTCCGTATTTTATTATTTAAAAGTTAAAAACTCTCTGAGCACTTGATCAATTAATGAGTTATTATTTAAAGACTACCTGAACATAACTACATTTGAGGATAGTAATATATAGCCTTATGAGAAAATATGTAAAGTGAAGTAATTTGATGAGATTTGGAGAGAAATTTACATACATGAATACAATAATATTAGGAAAGGAAGTTGTTATCCCTTATTAAGGACTAGTTCAAACTACGAAAATGTGTAATACCACTTTAAGGATTGTCCTCCCATTCAAGTAGGGAATAAATCAATAACCCAAGATGAGACATATTATCACCCATTTAAGAATTATAAGCAAACCATATTCCTAAAATAGTTTTCTCAATAAAGTGAAATGATACCCTTGAACCTTCAGGATAAGAATAGACAAGTATTATTGGAGAACATGACCAAACATGTCATGCACTGACCCAACAGAAGGAAGTGTATGCCAATTGAGAATTGAGTTGAATATGGTGGCAGTCTTAAAACCAGAAGAAGATATCTTTAGTCATTATGTTAACCCCGTAAGAAAGATAAATCCTTGTAAATATGTTTGGATAATAGAAAGATGAAAAATAATTGTGAGCTGTAATTGCCCTACCATGGGAATATATAGAATTTAGGAGACGTTTTAAAACTTCATCTAAAACGTCTATGGAGATAAAGGGAAGGATAACAATAGAAGGAAGGACCTAAACAGCCCAAAGTCACAAAGAAAGAACTTACAATGGACAAGCCTGTGACAAACTAGAGTCAAGGAAGGTATAGCTTCACTTCGAAGCCAAGTGGAAGTCCTTGAAATACCGAATAACTCTACGGAAGGACAATTGCCTAAATTCGCCAAAGAACATAACGAGTAGAAAATCTTCTTTGTATGTCATTTGCCTGAACCATTTTCCACTAGATTGATTCTTGAGAATCTAAAAACACCTACACTTGATTTTTAGTGTTGAATTGTTTTAGAAGAATACAAAGATAGTCATGATGTTGAGGCCACGTAGAAGCAAATAAGACACTGTAAAGTCTACAACTTCGTTTTAAGGAGTTCCGTAATTGATTATTTAAAAGTTAAAGACTCTATGAGTACTTGATCAATTATCGAGTTGTTATTTAGAGACCTCTTGAATATAACTAAATTTGAGGATAGTAGTATAGACTCTTAAGAAAAGTTATGTAAGGTGAAATAATTCGATGAGATTTGGAGACAAATTCATTCCTCATGAATGCACTTTACCTTTGGGAGTTAGAAAAGAAATAACCAACTATGGAGTACTTACGACCCTTAGACTTGAAGTGACTTGAAGTCATAAAGACATACAAAAAGTCATGATTTTAATCCGTGAAGATGAATGAATTGCTTGAGGTAAACTAAAGGATGTGATGTTTTTTTTGCCATAACCATACGATATGAAGAAAAGAGGTCCCTCATGGTAAGTCAAAATAATAGATTCTTTGTATGTCGAATTTGGAAGACCAAATTCCTTTTCCTTTTCTGGGAGGGGAGGGGGGAGAGAGGAGGATGTAATAACCTAGAATTCACCGGTTGGATTTCTCTTGTTTATTATGGTTAAGTTTGTATATGTTTAAAGGGGATATAGTAAAGTTAAGAATCAAGTTTTGAGTAAAACAGAGCGAAAACGGTGAAATTAGGGTAAAAGGAACCCCACAAAAAAGAGAATTTTCTCTCAAAGAGAAAACTGTGTTTTCTAGATGTAGGAACATTTTTCGAGACTATAACAACATCCTAGAAGGTATGAAGATGCATAGGGAACATGAGGGAGTAATTAGATTAAGAATCAAGAGAGAAATCCTCGGGGAGAGGGAGAAAAATCCCCTAAGTAACATAAAGTGGCCTTTAGTGGTTGAAACACTTCTGGAGCCCAAGATTAATGGGATTTGGAGATGAGATTTGAAGAGACATTTGATAACATATGGGGAAAGAAAGCTGTAAGAAAAGAAAGACTTGCATAGAAGAAAATTTGAGAGAAAAATGGAAGGAACCGAATCCTTAGCGCGATAGTTTCCGAGAAAACTCAAATTTAACCCTTTTAGCTTGATTTAGTGTCTTGAGACTAAAATATTTGAAGAGACATTAGATAACATATGGGGAAAGAAAGCTGTAAGAAAAGAAAGACTTGCATAGAAGAAAATTTGAGAGAAAAATGAAAGGAACCGAAGCCTTAGTGCGATAGTTTCCGCGAAAACTCTAATTTAACCCTTTTAGCTTGATTTAGTGTCCCGAGACTAAAATATTTGAAATTTAAGTCTCAAATTTGGCTGATGACTAGTCAAGAAATTTTGTGGAAAAAGAAAAATATAGGTAGAAGAAAATTTTGGGAAAAATGAGGCTTGACCTGAGAGGCATGCACATGAAGGACAGTTTTGACCTTTTTAAGCTTGTTTGAGCCATAAGTGGGTCAAGGGGACCTAGATGAAGCCCAAACCAAAACCATGTGATGGCTGTCTGTTTGAGAAACACGTGAAGCACAAGTTTGCCCAAGAAGATTAAGAATTGAGCAAGTTATGGAGTTTTGAGGTAAGGGCATAGGCATGGACCTAACTTTTCTTGCGGTTTGGACCTTCGGAGCCTTAGGTAAACCTTAAATAGGCCAAGAGTCAAAACGTTTCTTGCCTCTCCCTTGCCTATCCACTTGCATGGACGTCCCTCCTCTATAAATAGGGGTGTGGGAAGAAGGGAAAAACATTCTGGAATTTGAGAGAAAGCAAGAGTAGAGAGAGAAAGAGAAGAGAAAGAAGAAAGAGAAAGAGAGATGAAAAAGAAAGATGGGTGAGTAGAATTGTGAATCTCACTCCCCCTTCTTGGTATGTCATGATATCTGCATGCTAAGATTGTGAATCTCACTCCCCTATTATTTTTGAGATAGTGAGGGTTTCATTACAGAGTAGTAAGTGATACGGAAAAGGAATTATGAAGTTAGTCTCAATAATTGAGATTACCATACTGTTATGATTTGTGGTGTTAGAAAATGAAAAATTTTAAAGTCTAGTATTTTATATCAGTTGGACAATATTTATGAGTGGTATGGTTTTTGATTCCTTATGCAAAGCTTCATGATGCAAGTCGTGATTAGCTTCTTACATGTCTCTTTTGTGTTAAATTTCACACTCTTAATAGATTGCCTTATATGCCTGTCTTGCAATTTCTTTTCTTTTCTGATTCATTTGTTCTTGCCACTACATGGTGTGTTTCCCTTACTAGCAACAGTTTTTAGCATTTGGCTATACCAAGAAGGGGGACATCATGTTTTATAACGTAGACCAGTGTGACTTACCTTATCTTCTAGTACTAAGCGACACGTTTAGAATTTGTTATTTTCCCTATGATAATTCGAATCTTTGGATTCTTTTTCTCTTTCTCAAGTATGCTCTATGCATGCACTAAAAAGTGGGAGAATGGTTAGATGTGTTGTTCTGCTATTTGCGTAGTTGTTTTATAACTTGAATGGATTATAATTGACCGTCTGCTGCATTTCATTTGATTTAGCAGACTTAGTATAGCCAGTCTGCTACAGAGATGTCCCTTCTGTTAGTACAACTGCTGTTGGCCAAATGGTATCTCTTTTTCCCTGTACCAAAAGCTTCCTTTATGTTGCTGGAATTTGGCACTTGATATTCTGCTGTGTTTTATATCAGTTATATTTTTATTATTAATGGTCACTTTTCTTTTTTAGAAAAATATTATTAATGGTATTTGCATTCTTGTTCTCAAGTAACTTTTTGAGTGATGGTTTATTATCCCTTCTGTGCAAGTCATCTCCAACTATGTGCTTATTATCCGTCTTTGAGATTTGGAACTTTTTGTTTGCCTTCGATATAAATCGATATTTTTGTCCTTCCAGACTCTGTAGCATAAGTTATGCATTTGGTGTGGATGGAAAGTTTGCTTGTTGCCGATTGTGAGGTAGTATACTGTAAATATTTTGGTTATAGCTAGTAGATATGCTCTCAAATTTCTTTCTTGGACAACTCTAGTTAATTGGGGTATTTACTTTTCTGTATTTTGATGTTTGGTTCAAGTTTGTTCAAGTTGGTTCAAGTCAGTTGTTCTCCAATTTCCCTTCTCTGACAGTTTTCTTCTTTGTCAAGGTGGCAGAATTTCTCTCTTTCTGTGCCGATACTTGATTAATTTGCTGCTATATTAGTTTAGCTTCTGAATTTTGTCTTTCTGTTCTACTTTGAAGCGATTGATTGCTAGCAATTTTACCGAGTAGGAGAGCAGCATCAAGCATTTTCAAGCAATGACATTTGAAAGAAAGTAATGAGAATATATCTCTGATTATTTCGTCTCTTTTCCCCTTCATGGTTCGTATATTCTTCTATTTGTGATTAAATTTATCAAATCTCTTTGCTCCGCTCCCATTCTTTCTCTTTCTAACGCATCTTGACTGATACCTGTAGCGGGTAATTTTGCTGAAAATTTCAAGATTCCTACTTCTCTCCTCACCCTTCTCTCTCTTTTCCTCTCCTTTTTTGTTGAACTTTTCCTATCAGTTATTTTAACAGGCTATTTCTAAGGAAAGGTGAGTCAGAGAAGCAGAAAATCTTTTGAAGGTATATATGTTTATGCTTTTTTCTTCATCACAATGTTGTTTTGAATTGTTAAAGGAAACTTATTAACTAATACTGCACATTTATTTGGCAAATCTACAACTGAAAGACGTTGGTACAGATGTTTTAATGATTCCACATAA